TCATACATAAGCAAACTACTAAATCACGACTCTAAGCATAAAAACATGAACTTGTGATGCAATGTTTCTTAGGTAACACTAACTAAACAGAGCATATATGAATCAAAGACTGAAAATAATTAAGATCTCACAACTTATGATTACATCAATTTTGTTATAACCACGAACAGAGACTTTCCTAGGAATCACAAATGATAACAAGAGTTATAATTTGTGCATTCATCAACTAAATTGACATACGCAAAAAGATAGCGGAACCAGATTAAGCTTCAAAAGCGGAACAAGATAGCTTAAAATCAATCCTTTTCTATAGATAAGCTTCAAAAGTGGAACAAAAATAGCTCTAAAATTCAATCCTTTCGATAGATATATAGAATAATTTCGAGCTCTACAACCTTGAAGATGAACCCTAGACCGTAAATTTGATTACTTGAGTGTAGACGCTACCTCAAGTTTCAATATAATTCAGTTACTTAGAAACACGTAAAGTATCTAGCTAACACTAAACAAATGAGAGTTACCCCCGCGAGAGTAAGCATTCTTAACAATCTTCTCGAATCCCATCTCAGCATCATCAGTGACTAGTACAAACGCAGGTGATAGAAGAATCCCCCAATGAACCAAACTCCATCTCATATCGAAAGAAAAAGAATGATCGAGCTTCATTTTACGGTAAGACAAATTGGCAACGAAAAGAAAGAAAAAACGGTGCAAAGTGATAAGATGTGTATGCTACTCACTGGAAGTAAGATCTCATTAATGCAACAACGTAAAGCCGCGCAAATTGCCTCTTTCAGTATCTTCACTCTGCCAAGGTTAAGAAGTCAAGGAAATCAGAAGGAGAAACACACAAACAAATAGGTGACCAGACTCGAGGGCGGTTGAGAGAGTATAAATGGATGGATGACATGTTCAAAGATGAGGCAACAATCCCATTTTGTCACAAAAAGTCACGCCTCCACAATTGCAGATGAGATCCTAACTCAGCAAACAAGTGATTCCTTAGCTAATTTAGATGCTAATAGCAAAGAGGTGAAGAAGAATCGGTTAGACCTGGGGAACAAACACAGAAATCTTTCCATGAATTGCTCGTCATACAAACACCATATAGATAATAAAGCAGAAAATCAACTTCTAGTACACTTATTCATAGATTATACATTAGAATTTTAAGTCCAAAGCTTGAACAACAGTGGTGGCAAACAAAGGATTCATGCTTAGAATCAAATCAAAACCTAAGGTCTGGATTTCAGTTTAGAACCAAACCTAGAATCGTTGCTCATATCTTTGCACAAGGTCTGGATTTCATTCATGTTTTCCTTGGAATTGCACAAGAAGAAGAGAGTAAACAAGACAAAAGCATAAGGCTCCTCCTTGTGGTCTGATGGAGCGGAAGCTTCTAGGGATATAACTAAATACGTTGATTCTGAGAATACCAGGAAACTAAGGTTTGAGGGCTTTCACAAAAGCTCTTAGAGCAACATTAACGGTGAGACTTTGAGTGTTTCAAGTAATAAAACATAATGAAAAGAAAGAGAAAAAATATTATTTTAATGTAACTATAGGTTGAAACGTATCGGTGGGTTCGGTGGGCTGAGACGGTTCTTCGTCGGTTCTTCATTTTCCGTGCCGCGTGTTGTGGTGTGATTGGACCAAGTTTAATGCTACTATTAAATGATTAAACTACTATTAAAATTAATACTACTTTAATATTAGTGATACCCACATAAAGTTCATTGTTAATGATATTCTTAGGGTTATGAATACTCTTCACAGTGGTTTATCAAAACCTCTTTAGAAATCTTTCAATTAATCAATTCATCAACAACTAAATACAATAGGAGGTCTAAGAATAAAACATAAAACCCTAGAAATCCCTGTAACATTCCAGAATATTCTAAAAGATATTCATTAAAATATAAATCTAAATAATTAAATAGATAATAATGATATTTGAAAAAATATCTCGCTGCATCATGGTCCAAAATAACTCAACCCAATATCAACTCACTAAACTAATCATAGTTAAGCATTGAGTTACTTGACTTGATATGCTTTGATCAACAAGTTATCATCTTCACACTATGAATAAAATCAATATAGAACTTCTAGGTACTTGGGACACTGGAGAACGTCGGGCTTACTTACATGCACAACAGAATCCTGATTAGGCTAGTCTAGTCTTTATATAAGTCGATTAAAGAGATTTCAGTCCGACCTCACAATGAATTCAAGTCTTTAAAGTTTAAAATCTTATCATATAAAACCAATAAATATTCATAATCAAACTGTCTTCATGTCCCCTAATAATAAACACACACAAAACATAAACATGTATTTAAACGCACAAGGACATGTTGTAACAAGTCTCCAACGTACATGCGGCTCTCACTCTGATCCATCAACATCGATCACCTTAAATAGACTCTCACTCATCTCTATCAACATAACGTGAATATCCGATTCCTCCTTATTCGACTTATTTGACCAGTCGTCTGGTACACCTTTGATTTCGATCTTTTGCAAATCATTGCTTTGCAGATCATAACACAGAATGTGAAAGGGAAAAAAACAATCCCTTGGAATCAAGAAAAGCTTGCCATGTTGTAGCTTTGAAATTGAACATGGTTTCATTGACCAAATGTAGCTCCTCGACCAATGATTGTTCCCGGCGTCTTCCACAACCCATAAATCTAACAAACCCTTGTTTCTAAGATTGGTTTGGTCAATGATAGTTACTTTGCCACAATACTCTATAAGACTCGCACTGAAGATTCCTTCATGGAGCTCATCTCCGTCCCTGTGAGGTGCTTGGATCGTTTTAAACTCTTCGGATCTAATGTGGAAACTCACAACCGCACAACTGTAAATACCAGTCCAAGCCAGGTAATATATAACCCCGTCGATACACACTCCTACTCTGGTCGGATAGTGAGGATGATAGTCCGGTGGAGTTGGAGCCACCTTTTTCCAGGAACGTCGTCCAGGTTTTAGGACATATACCCAATGCTCTGACCTCATCTCTTGCAAATGTTTGAAGTAAAAACCAGTTGACCAGACCACTTTGTACTGGTCGTTAACAGGGTCGTATCCGTAATAGTAGGTAACGACTGTACCATTTGTGATCTTGGAGGATTTGACGGGGGCGGGTAAGGTGACGAGCTGTCTGGTGGGAGGGTTAAAGATCCGCGGCTTTTTCCAGTAGGTGTAGCACATGAAGCCACGAAGACTTTGCAAGAAGTAGCTTCCCCTCCATGGAATGGTCAGATCGTGGTTGACTACAAAGGAAGAAGACGTAGTGTCTGGAGTCAATGATAGTGTTACATCTTTGTGGCGGTCACTAGGATCCAGCAAGCACATGTGAATACGAGGAGGACGTCGTTGGGTGAGGAAGCGGTTGGTGAAATATGGTGAGTTGATGTGAGATGACCAAAGCTTGGAGACACAGTTGAATCTCATGAGTGATTTAGCAGGCAGTCTCGTAAGAATCTCTTCATTCACCAAATGCATAGGAAGAGGAATCTCTGGTCGTATTCTTCTCTTCTTTCTCCTGATAAGCTCTTCCTTAGCAGCACCGAGCACTCGATCCTCAGGACTATCATTCAAATGCTTCCTAATTAACCATGAACGTCTGTCATGAAAACTGAGTCGAACCTCTCGGTGAATCTTGGTTTTTCCAGACATGGAGAGGATGACACTTCTCTAGTAAAATGAAAAACAAGCAGACCTCAAAACCATATCTCGAGTTACATAGCAAAATCAAATTTAAAAAAAAAAAAAAACAGCAAAACTCACATACACACGC